AAAAGTAAATCAGAGACATATTTATAGTAATTATGCAGGCAAATTTGCCTGCAAATCTCTACCAATTAAGGGATAGTGTAAAAACACCATAGGTGTGTTTTAGTAAAATCCTATTTAAAAATCAACTTGCTTATCTAAAGTTATATCAATATATTTAAAAATTAAATTGCTTTTAAAAGTGCATTTCAAAAAACACTAAATTATAAATAACAAAAAATTTGTTTAATAAAATTTTGTTAAATTTTTAATAAGGTTGTAGAGATAATTTTTCTAATTCTAATGATAGTAAAATTATTAAAATTGGTTTTGTATATAAGAAATTATAAGTAATTTAAGTTTACAAATTTTTTACTATGTTTTTACTATATTTTACTATATAAAATATATAAAAGACTAACCATTTTTAGATGTGCATCACTATAAAACAGGTTTATTTAAACTATTTAAAAAAATTATTATTTATTTTTTTTAACTATACCAAAATTAAAATTGGATCTCAAACATTCCAAAAATTTATTTTTTTTAAATTTTATTACAAGTTTTTGTATACTATAATGTTTTTACTGCTATACTAAATTTAGTACAGCAGAATTTAAGAACAATATAGCAAGTTTAAAAGTAAGCTATAAAAAATTTTTATTAATTTATATTACTAAAATTGTACAAAAAGATAGTTCTAATATTCAAATATATTTTGGCAAAATTTGATTAAATTTGGTTAAATAATTAGTTCAAAATTAATTTTTTTGTATGTACTAAATTTAGTACAAAAGCCAAATAGATATCTATTAATATAAATGTATAAATAATATTTGGAACTTGTTACCTCAGTGCGAAAAATGGGTTTGTATACAAACAATAATGCATGTACACTGTTTATTGTACATACGTATACATGATTCAAAATGTGACTGGATCCATGTCAAGAGAAAAATTTAGCATACCAGAACACAAACTATATATCTGTATATTAATATATACAAAAAGAGAATTAAATTAGTAAATCTTATATGCTTCTTCCCCGCATATAAGCGTCATAACTGACCTTAACCAAGTTACGTTCTTTTAAATAAATTGAATAAATAAAATAAATAAATAATAATAATATGAACATATGTATCGTTTTAATATAAAAAGAAGTAATTAGTTTCTAATTATGTATAACAAAAGTATATACCAATATTAATAACAAAACAGGATAGCTTATCTGTTTTTTTAATCCATAATTGAAACAAATAATTTTTTTAAAAAAAATATATAATTATTTATTAGGGTTATAGGCTAAAAGCCTATACCCCAAGTTATATTTAAAATTTGTCATATATAAAAATAAAAAATAAAAAATATATTAACTATTTTTTTACAGTAATTAAAATAAAAATAAAAATAACAAAGTTATAAAAATTTATATACTAGCAAAACAGAATAGCTTATTTATTTTAATATACTCGAGTATAGGCTTTTAACCCATAATTGTAAACAATAATTTTTTAATAAAAAATATATAATTATTTATAAATATTATAATTTATCACTATAGCAATAATACGCTATCCTAAATAAAACTAAGATAATATATATATAAATTATTATGCATGTATAACATAAAATTAAAAGTGTAAACTGATCATTATATGAAAAATTATGTTATTAATTAATAATAAAATAGACTATCATAATTACATTACATTATATTGACAAATAACAATAGCGTACTTTTATAAATTTTGGCTTTTTTTCTTTTACAGGTTATAGAACTAAACCGAAAAAGGAATAGACAAAAACATACTAGAATTAGCAAGCATGGATGAAAATGCTCTAGAATTAGAAGAAATAAATGAAAACACTCTAGAATTAGAAGTAGAAATAAGTGAAAACACTTTAGAATTAGAAGAACCAAGAGTAAATCAAGCCTGTTTAAATGATATTAGTTGGTATTCACAATAGTATACTGTTTTATACATCTAATTTTTTACTGTATATCATATTAGTATCACCTGCTGAAACAGAAAGTATTATTTTATATGTTAAAAGTTTTTTTCAACTTGGGATGCATGTGAATTATTTTTGAAAGAATAGGCAAAAAAAAAAGATTTCATATAATCAAAAACAAAGTGCAACAAGAAAATAATGTAATTCAATAACAAGCATTTAAATATGTACATAGTCGAAATTATGTATCAAATTCAAAAAAAAAATACAGGTTCAAAAAAAACCAGATGCAAGTTTTTAGTTAATGCATATTGTCCAAAAAATAATAATCCCAATGCTTAAATATTTATTATTAAAATTGTAAATGAACATAATTATTTATTAGATAGATCTGCTATTGAATTTGAAAATTCAAAAAAATTTACAGACAAAATAGTAGAGGATATTAAATTCATAACAGTATCATGCAAGTTTGGTGCAACTGCTTAGAGAAAATTTCTTGAGAGTAAATATCTATTGCAACCTATTTACTCAAAAGACCTTTATGCTACAATAAGCAAATTCTATCCTACAAATAAATCATTATTGAATAATGCAATACAGATTTCAAATTGGTTAGATCATCAAAAAGAAAGTAATCCTTGATAGTTTGTAGTATGAGGATAGGATGATAATAATGTATTGACCTATTTACTGTGAATGACTCCAGAGCAAACTGAAAACTAGATCCAATATTTTGACTGTGTTTTAAATAATATAACATATAAAACTAATAGATATAGCATAGCCTTATCACTATTTGTCAAATTTAATAATAATTGTTGCAATATTCTACTTGCTCAAGGTCTTTTAGCTGATGAGAGCCTCAATTCACATATCTGGATATTTAGTAAGCTATTAGAAGCAACTAGTGTATGTCCAGGTTAGTTTCTAATTAGTAAAAATTTTTAAATCGATTAATTGCTAACTATTGGGTTAGGGTCTCGTAGCCTAGTGGTTTAAACACCTAACCCTCCGTAGACGAGATCAACAGTTCAATTATAGCTGGTGGTAATTAATCTATTGATGATCTGCCAGTTATCTGGTGAAAATTTTGACGCAGATCATATATACATAAGCACAAATTGATACTTTAAAGTTATATATAAAGTCAATAAATTTTTAATCAATACTTGCTTTAAAGTAGTACAAATTGCAAAGTAATACTATACGGTTTTAATTTAAAAGCATTAAGCACAGAAGTTCTTTGTTAAAAATTTTATTCTAGATGCACACAGCATTTACTATGTAACATATACTTAAAATTTTTATATATGCATTCGATCTAAATTTACTTTTTATTATACACATATTCTTTTTTAACTAAACTTTTCAGATTTTCTTGTAGATTTGTACAATCTTACAAGACTTTAAAATATTTATACTAAAGAACTTGCGATAATTTTATATAGGTATTTTTTTTACTCATATATAAGATCTAAATGGGAACTAAATCTATAAGAATATTTGCAAGTAATAAACTTAATTCAATCTAGAAACCCAGCCCACCTATTTGCCTACAGAAAACCATAAATGTCCAAACCGGAATATATTATATAGTTGCAATAAACCAAAAAAATGAAATTTAAAGTACTATATATCTTTTGAATTTGGGCAAAGTAAGTTAAACTGGTTATTTTATTTCTTACAAGTTTATTTTTAGCAGATTTAAAGTATATGAGCTAACTAAAAAACAAGTAAGATTGCTGCCAAGAAAAAGGTTCTTCAGACTTTGAGTATATTATATGAAAGTTTAAATAGCTTTTTTCCCTTAGCAGCATATATATTTTAGACTTTAAGGACTTCACATAAAATAGATTCTTTCTAATAGGTTGATAATGTTCAAAAGATTGGTAAAAAGAATTCGGCTCTTGTTTTTAGCAACGTGGTTAGATAGTGAAGAATAATTTTAAGTGTGTTTGTAATAAAATATCCCGACCACTATATCAAGATCACAGAGTATTTGTAAAATACTCTGACCTATACAGTATGTGTATAACTAGAAACTCAGCTTAAGATAATTTGTTATATATACTGTGATCCTGATATAGTAATCGAGGTATTTAGAGAATGCACAGTAAGTATGCTATCATGAATAGTTTCAATTAAGTTAATGAAAGTATTTTTAAGAGAAGTTAAAATAATTTATGAATTAATAGAGATTTATTACCGATACTAATTTTATCAATTATTAAATTTTAGAAAACTTAATTGAAAAGGTAAATTAAAACGATATGTATCTGAATTTGTAGTGGTTTACCTTATACCCGGAAATGTTAAATAAACGATCATATCTAATAGCGACAGATACTTGTGGTTTAATATTACTAAGATTACCTATTACCACTAAAAAATCAGGTACATACATACGTACTATATGTGTATAATTGTTTAATTCTTGATCTAAACTTGATTATACTTATCAAATCACTTTTTCTCAAAAAAGAAATATTTGAAGATTCGAATACTGCCAAACTTCTCAAACCGATATGCATAGTAGACAAGCTTTTATCAGTATTAAGAGGTTATCGGAGTTGAAAACATTATAAACAATTAGGTTTGTATAAAAACAGGCTTGGTAGATTAATTTTCTATCAGATTTGACAGGTAATCGATTTTTAACAAGATCAGTTTTGAGAAGTTCAACATCTTCAAATTTATTTAGTTATTGTAAAATTGAATCAGATTATTTAATATATTTTAAATACAATTTATTATTTTAAATAAATAAAGTGCCCTTTATTTTTATACTACTGATTCAATTATTTATTGATTTATGTATTGTTTGATGGCGATACTATGTGGATTGTGTTATTATAACTAGGGATATTATCAGCTTTAATAATAAAAACCAATTAATCAATAGAGCCAAATAAGTTAATAACATCTCTAGTTATAACAAGAAATATTTACCATATAAGAGCAAACTAATACTCAGGGGCATTATTTCGAAATCCAAACTCCTAAAATAGCATATAGTGTCTTGAATTACAGTTGTTTCATAAATTCTGGGACACCTAAAAATTTTCTCATTTTCCGAAAATTCTTCAGTTTTGTTCTAAAGATCACCTAACTCTTCAGAATTATGTCATTGTCTTCGGAACTTCATTCCAGAGATAGCGATACATTTTCTGAAGAGTTAGATGATCCATAGGATAAAACTAAAAAGATTTCAGGAACAAGAAAATTTTTAGGTGTCCCAGAATTTATGAAAACAGCTATAATGCCCAAATTAACGTGCACCCAATATAATAGTATAATTAACCTACCAACACCAACAATGAAATTTTATCACCAGCAATAGCAAAATTCCAAATAGCGAAGTTCCACCGCCAATAATGGTGATACCAACAGCGAAGTTTCACCACTAGCCGTGATGACATAATGACAGCGAAACCAAGGGCGTTATCAATGATACAAACTATCTGGAATGGCTACTACTTGCGAAAAACCACACCAAATTATAGTAAAAGCAAACCACTCAAACAACACTTACATGGAAAAAAGAATAAAGTATTAGTAACTGTTATTTGTATATGGAACAGACAAAAAAAAATATATTTAGCATTAAGTGATTATCGATGATTAGTTTAGTGATACTGTTTTGGTATTGCTATGAATAAATAAATAAAAAAAATTAACTTGGATAAAGTCATTCAAGCTATATATATATTTATATATACTAATGTAAATTATATGATCATATATATAGCTTGGATGGCCGATATAGTTGAACTGATCATTGATAATCAATCACTTAACACTAAACAGAGTTGGCAAATGACAATGTCATTTAAAATTTTTGTGACAAGTAACAAATTAGTGACAAATGACATAGGTTATTTGTTATTTTTGTCATTTAAAAGTAATATAGTAAGACTTCGGGTGTTTTAGGTTTTAACCAATCCTAAAATACCCGAATGACACAAAACCTTAATGATCTCAGGATCTTAGCAATTTTAAATATAACCTATTTTTGTCATTTGTCATTTACCTTCTAAATGACAAAGTGACAAATGACAATGTCACAATGTCATTTAAAAGTCATTTGCCAACCCTGCTGTGATCTACCGATTTGGGGTCGCTGATCACGAGATATTCGATCCGACCCTATTTTATATATAAAAAATATTTAAATACCCTATGCTGGTAGAGTATGTCATGTGACAGCAAAAAACCCCATACGTCTGCCCCAGTTCTCTCAACTATAAGAACTCCATAATTGCCTAAAATACGATGAAGCTAATAAGAAATTGAACATTGTGTGAGATAAATTTTTCAACATATTTAAGCTAAAAGACAAATACAAATAATACGCATAAGATAAATCATACATCAGCATCCAACCAAAGCTTCGGAACCTTGAATGATTCAATTAGATCACCACCAGCTAAGAGCATGATTTTGACCTTTCGGAACTCGCCTTTACGCATAATTTTAGTGAATTAAAATTTTATTATTGTCGAGGCAAAAAAGTTCATTTATTTTTAAATTGAATCAACTTACCATCTGTTGTCGTAACACCACCACGTTTGATATTAATTTCCTCGTTAAAGTGTTCCATAACTAAAGCAGTCTGCGTATATATAGCCTGCAAAGATTCCCAAGCATCAACCATCAACCATTGAGAAGTTCTTTCAACAGCAAGTTCGCACATACGAACTCGATGATGAGAAGGTGCTAGTCCTTCCTTTGTATAATGATCCGATACGGGGGAATAATAACCGCCTATAATTTCAAATTGGGTATTATCTATTATGTAATCTTTTGCCATTTCTAATATCGTAAATAGACGCAATCAGTTGACAAATGCAAAACGAAGAAAAATATTCCCCAAAAAATCTTATATTTTCTCACCGAATATCCGTAAATGAAGATATGTTATTGGTGAAAAAGATCCGCATGCGACAATAACAAGAGGTTCTTTCGTATTATCTGCGGTATTTTGATTGATGTAATTCGTATATTATTCAATAATAACTTATTTGTGTCAAGTCTACTATTCCTTTGAAACCTGTAGCTAGAATGCATCCTACTAAACAGAGCGCCAAACGAGTAAAGTATAATAAGCAAGCGCCAAAGTCTTTGTGTATTGTTTTTTTTTTCGGTACAAGCCGAAACACGAGCATATAGCACGTGCTTAATACTTTGTAACATATCAAAGCACTAATATTTCGCGGAACGACCAAATGTCCGGTATAAAAAAAGAATTGGTGGCTTCGTTACCTTCAAGTCGGGATTTAAGCCTATGTGTTGGAAAAAAATAATCTTCTAGTCTTGAAGGTTGGAGCTTAATAACAGGATCATCTTCTTCTCGCTCTGTGACCGAGGGAGAGGCACCAGAAGCATTTTTGTAACTAGTGGTCATGTTAATAATCGTTCCGTGGATAGTAAGGAGCGATTCTCCGGCGAAGAGAGTAACACTTGATCATAATTCTATTTTTAAAGTAACACGTATAAAAAAAAAGCAAAGTTATTTGCGCAGTATGAGATCACTAGATTTCCCACGGCCTTGCATACAATTGGATGAGAATCACAATATGATAAGAATATAAGCTGACCCCCGTTCTCCTCGCCAGTTATTAAAATGTCTACGTCTACCACAGCACAAATTGCAACAACTTCTCACCCGTTCACCTCGCAGGAGAAGTTACAGTCTGGCCAAGACAAAGTAGTAAAAGTCCGCTCTCCCAAATATATATTACGTACATTTGTTGCTGGTGGTGTCGCAGGCTGTGTGGTATGCTTTTGCGTCTAGTAACAATAATATTAGAAAATTTGTTAATTTGACGCAAACAAAATACTTCAGGCTAAGACAGTAATCGCGCCGCTGGACAGAGTAAAAATCCTGTTTCAATCAAGTAATCCCCAGTTCAAAAAATATGCAGGTAGAATTTGTTTTTACAAGAGTATAGATAAGCTTGTTGTGTAAAATGGTGCGTAAAATTGCCGCGTCCATTAACTTACGTTAATAAATATTCCTTTTGACAGGGTCATGGACGGGTCTGTTTCAAGCCACTCGAAAAATATATATTGACTCAGGCCCGAAGGGCTTATTTCAAGGACATTCAGCAACACTTATCCGAATATTTCCATACGCTGCGATAAAATTTGCCGCTTTTGAACAATTTCGTCACGTATGTAATATCATACGTCTCATATTGACTAAGTTTTGGAATTACCTATGTAAAACTCTTGATATTGAATAATAACTTTAGATATACTGGATGATTTCACCACCAAAATGATCGTTCCAACAAGCCTAAAATTGTAAAATCCGAACATAGTATCGTGATATCGTTAAAGATTTGTGTTGCTTTGAGGTGGGTTAAGTCCATCCTACACCGACATTCCCTCAAAAGCAACACAAGTAAGTATTCGCGATCCTAGGTTTGAATTTTAGCAATTTAGATGGAGACATCGATGCTTTAGTAATAAAATCGTCCAAATGGAACCAATAAATTGAGTTATTCAATATCAAAGTTTTATATATTTTTACTAGCAATTCTAAAAAAATATATGGATCTCTTGCAGTATTCATTTTTTCCGGTGGGTGTGGCGAATAAAGGCGCCGTGACTTAAGTCACGGCGCCTTTATTCGCCACACCCACCGGAAAAAATGAATACTGCAAGAGATCCATATATATATAATCTGAATATAGTATTCCGACCAGTCGTATTGATTGGATATTGAATTTTACTAGCTTTTAATGCCGACAAGGCAACATGAGACACGTCTTAAGAGTTTTGTGGCTGGTTCTTTAGCTGGTAGTATATGATAAGAGGCCTTTTTTTGAATATTCAGTTCACTAATTTTTTTTTTTTAAATCAAGGCGTTTCATCTGTAATGTGCACCTATCCACTAGAACTTGTGCGTGTTCGATTGGCATTTGAAGTTCGCAAAGACTCGCGTGTTAGTATTAGATCAATATGTAAACAAATATATCACGAAAGCGCTGCATCACATCGACGCTTTATTCATTTTTCAATTATGAATTTTTATCGTGGATTGGCTCCTACTATAATGGGCATGATTCCATATGCTGGTGTCTCTTTTTGGACACATTATACGTTATCGGAATTTTGCAGAGAAAAATTGGTGGGTATCACAACAGATCCATCTTTAGTTGTTGGGAGGAAAGATTTTCTAGACCAAGAAAGGAAGGTCCCTTTGAAAGCATGGGCTGAATTGGCTGTTGGGGGTTTGGCTGGCGCCATATCTCAAACTGTGTCGTACCCACTTGAAGTAGTTCGACGTAGAATGCAGGTGTATGGTGCAATAGACCCTTCAAATTTTATTGGTATTCGACAAACAACGCGAGAAATTTGGACCAAAAATGGATTAAAAGGATTTTTTGTGGGGCTAAGCATTGGATATCTGAAAATAATACCTATGATTGCAGTTTCTTTCACAGTTTATCACCGAATGAAACTATATATGGGCATATACTGATTTATAATAAATCTTTTTTTAATACATTACAAAAAAACATTCATAATCAACTATGTAATATTAATTATTTATTATTTTGATTTCAAATTAAAATTTATGTTCCTGAAACCACGTTATAAGTCCTTCAAATAATGTCCAACCGATTGCATTTTGCATCGTTTTCCTCCCAAGACGAAGGGTGAGACCATCAAAAAATCTTAGAAAACTTTCCTCCTTAGTGTTAAAAGTTTAAAAGATTCATTTGTGAGATACTCTTAAAATTAATAACAAATTCAACTAAAACTACAATTACCTTTAAAACTTTACTTGCCCCAAGAAAAATGTTTGAATACTCGGAAGGTTTTAATTGAATTCGCGTCTTAAGCACATCAAAAGGATGTGTTATAAATGCTGACAAGGATCCCGAAAATGTACCTTTAGAATGAAAGAGTGTATATAATGAATAATCAAGTATTAAACACAGACGAGCTTTACTTATCAATTACCTGCGATCATATGGGTAATTGTTGGCGATAGTGAGGGTGAATAGTCTACAACAAAGTAGATTGTATATAAGTATATTTGTAACGTTATTGCTATACTTGCCAGTCAAACTAATCTCGTTCAGAGTATATTAAAATCGTCCTTAATAGTTTACCGGCAAGTATAGTTACTACTATCATGATTTTCATAAGGAATAAATACCCTGCAATTTAAGTTTGAACCGTTCATAAAACAAAACATTTAAGCCTGAAGTAGGCGCGTCTTTGATGGCAGTGGCTCCATATCCGTAAAACAAGCCTGGCACAAATATATAAAAAAATTATGTTAATAAATTATGGTAATATTCATAATGATAAATATTATTTATAGTAAATACCCTTAAATCCATCAGTCTTTATTATAGATGACAAGGCATCCCAAATACTTTTGTAATTATAGAAATTGCTCTGTAAAATTCGAAGGAACAATTAAGATTTGCGGATGATTGAATGTATGTCAAAGTAATCGTTATATATATAATAATTGTCTGAAATTAACCAATGAAACCCGTCAATAATTACACGCTTACCTCATACCTGACTTTAACGACGGTAATGGGCATCATCACGAATCCAATAGAACCTCTAGCTACCATACCAGCAATTAAATTTTCTTTATCTGATAATACCGGTAAAGAAGAACCACTAGTTGGTCTCTGTGGTATAGGACTCGATGAACTAATTCGATGTCTTAATGAAAAAAGAAGACGAATCTCCGATAGAGTAAAATAGTATAGCGCGGTACCAGGAACATTACTAAAAAAGATGAAATTTAGATCATAATTCAAATCGAAGATAACAGTCAATAGAAAAATAAATTACCGAAAAATTGTTGGAATAGTGCCTCGCCATAATCCAAAGATTGATTCTTTAGCAATGATTTCTTTGACTTTGTAAATAATTCTACTATAAATAATAGCTCATTGAAAACTATTCATTCCTATCATCAAGTAACAAGGGATTAAACCACGACACTGATAAACTATCTTAATGAACCTCACGTAAAATAGTTGCATCCGTGCGACCGCGTCCACCCTACCTATTCATTGGCATTACTTTCTGATCTCGTCCCAATAGTCTGATATATTGTTGTCTTTCTTGCTGCAAACGCGTTTTAACGAGATCAAACGGCTGCAAAAGAATACAAGACATTAAGCCGGAGGTCGCACCTGCCATTAGGTACGCCACGGGATCGTGTCTTTGCAAAGAACCCATTTACATTACTGATATCGATATTATGAAATTGTAATCCTATAGTATATTATATATTTCAGGTATATATTTTATAAACCACCGATCGTCATTTATAGATGCCATAATTGTTAATAGTTGCCAAAATCGACATAATTCGACGTTTGACTTCAAAAGAGAAATCGCGATATGAACATATAAATTATACAACAATTACAAAACTTTACAAATCAAATGTCATTGGTTATCAATGTAGTAATGTTACTAAAGTATTAATGGATATTGCTTAATTTAAATCTTATATTGAGCTCAACATAATCTGTGATTATTTATGTTCATTTTTTTTCATTACATCCTACCAATTTTCGATCCCATCTTTTTCTTTCTAGAACCTCAACTGGTATATTTGCAAACCCACGCGAACAATTCTTCTGATGCTGTTCTAGATATTGTTTTAACATAATATTTTTGGACTGCTCAGAACGAATAAAAGAACCAATTCCCATGAATAATGCAAAAGAGCCTGCTGAAGAAACCATATATCGGCTAAGTGTAGAGAGGTAACCTGCTTGATTTGGACCATATCTTATAAAAATAGTAATTTCGTTAAGCTTTTTAATGCAAAGAATCAAATAATTTCTATTCATAAAAAAATAATATAAAATAATAATGTTAGCAACATCGATATAATACGTACCGGAGGATATGATACGTGCCAAACACAAAACCAAGACAGACACCAACGGCACCACCCATTAAAGCACCTCTTTTCATATATTCTATTCGTGAAGGCTGTTCCATTTTTATGTTTTTTTATGAAGTCAATACACAGAATAAGGTTGTATTTTTTTTTAAACCGCGAAAAATGGACGAAGATTGACTTTTACCAGTAATAACATGATGAAATTTGGTTTAATTGGCTAAATATTTGTGATCTACGTTGGATGTTACACGAACAGAAGGACCCGGATCAGGGCTCATAGACAGACTTTCGTGTGATTGGCAGTTTAAATTTTACATTATTCATACAGTTTAAAGTACTTTTTAAAAAAAAGAAAAAGAAGTATATAGAAAGTTTTATTAGTGTTGTAGGACTCCACTATTAAAAATAATCAAAATTCTTTTTTGTTTTAGAGAAGTTAGCATAATAGCGACTTCTTAA